CTGGCCGCACCTCTTCCAAAATAGATCTATTGGTTCTCTTGGCAGTCCATGGCACTTTTAGTATTCTCCTCCAACACAACAACTCAAAGGCATCAATTCTTCTACGGTCTTCCTTATTCACTGTCCAGCTTTCACATCCATATGAGGTTATTGAAAATACCATGGCTTGGGTCAGGCGCACCTTAGTCCTCAAGCTGACATCTCTGCTCTTCAACACTTTAAAAAGTGTTGAATCTGTACCTGGACCAAGAAGCCGTTGTCGAACAGAGCATGGGAACACTGAATGTTTTTAAATTGGGAAAGTTGTGCAACAAGGTTGTGTTCTTTCACCATACTTATTCAACCTGTATGCTGAGCAAATAATATGAGAAGCTGGGTTCTATGAAGAAAAATGTGGCGTCAGGATTGGAGGAAGACTCATTAACAACCTGTGATATGCAGATGATAAATACAATCTTGCTTGCTGAAAGTGAAGAGGACTTGAAACATTTACTGATGAAGATCAAAGAACACAGCCTTCGGTATGGGTTGCATCTCAATGTCAGAAAAACAAAAATCCTTACCACTGGACCAATAAACAACATTCTTATCAACAGAGAAAAGATTGAAGTTGTCAAGGACTTCAGTCTTCTTGGCTCAACTATCAACACTCACAGAAGCAGCAGTCAAGAGAACAGACGACAGATTGCATTGGGCAAATCTGCTGCACAGGAACTTTTTTACAATATTAGGCAGGGGAAACAAATATCCTCACGACAGTCATGCACCTAAACATTTTCCCCCCTCCTTAACCCATTCAGCCTATGCCTCCATCCATGACCTCACAGAAACTGTTGTTCCAAGGTTGTACATAAATTACCTCTATCTCATTTAGCCCATGCATACTTCCCTAAATCGTCCCTTATCTTTATTGTTCATCTGCCACCCTCCTCCCTGTTCTTGTGTACTGCACTTCCCTTCTTTGTAGATTGCCCTCCCTGTCTACCCTTTACTGGCTGACTTTTGAAAGTCAGCTCAGAATAGGTAGTAAATAGGAAAAAAAAAAAAAGGGGGGGGGGAGGGAGAGGAGTATGGTCTGCATCCTTGGCTGAACTCTCTCTTTATGTTAAACCCCCAGTTCTTTTGAGCTCCTTCACATAGGCATTGGACACAAATTTGAGATACAAATAAAGTTCGGCCTTTCATTTCGTTTTGTAGTGCAAGCTTTGCTTTTTCTTGTTAAGATTCTTAGTCATTTTCTCATGAGCTTTAATAACTTACTAAAGCACACGGACCCAGAGAAGTAATTCAAATCCAATCCACTTTAGTCAAAACAGAAACCAGTTAGCAGGAACCGCAGGTCTGCAGAGGATTCTGGGAAGTGTAGTTCGGTGCGGATGATGGTGGTAAGATTTGAGAGGGCTTCTCCTTAGGGATTCTGGGAAGTGTAGTCCAAGATCTGTGAGTAATCGGAGCACTTCCGCTCCAGGAAGGCGAGGCCGGGGCGGTGATTGCTCCTAGGTAGGTGAGTCAGGCAGATACCCTGCGACCCTGCCGAACCTTCTTGAACTGGGCGTGGGGCTAGCGGTGCCCTGGTCCTCGGCCTTGGGGAGGAGAAGCCGACAGAGAACGGGAATGGGAGGCAGAAACGGCAGTTTGCGTCCCCTTGGTGGAGCCTCCCATTTGGGGGCGGGCTGGCGTCCTGCCTCGGGGTTTAGGGTCTCCAGCGCTCTCGGCTCCGCAAAGCGCTTCCGCACCTAAAAGCCTCCTCTGCCTCTTCCTTGTGGTAAAAGATTGGGCAGTTGACTTAATCGCTCTGTGCCTCAGTTTCCTCTTATGGCTAAGGATTCGTGCCGTCTAAAGAGTGTTCTTGTGAGGCTTAAATGAGATAATATATGCAAAGCAGAAAGTAGTGCCTAGGACGAGGTCAAAACGCTGCTTGTGTGGAAGCTTCTGAGAGTCCATCTGTGCTGAGGTCCTGCAGTCACTGGCTCTCCTTTCTGATCCCTGCCTGACCCAGACTATGCTTGGATTCCCAGACTCCCCCTGACCCCTTGTTTAGGAAGGAGGAGTGGATTCCTTCCTGCTTTCGTTAAGTGCCGTCGAGTCAGTTCCGACTCCTAGCAAATCTGTATAGGGTTTCCGAGGAGCAGCTGGTACGTTTGAACTGCCGATCTTTGTGGTTTGCAGCCTAGTGTTGATCCTACAACGCCACACCAGGTGTCCTTCCCACGGTTGTTGTTAAGTACCGTGGAGTTGGTTCCGACTCATAGTGACCCTGTACAGGGTTTCCGAGGCTGTGAGTCTTTACGGGAACAGAAAGCCTCATCTTTCTCCTACGGAACGTGAGTTAATGGCCTAAACAGTCACAATCCAGATCACAGCTTTGCCGAGGGCCTGGCTTGTGGTGAGGTTTCAGTAAGGGCTCAGTGGTAGTGTGTTGTTATTAATAGCCCCATGTCATTAATTTCAAGAAGACATAATTTGCTCCGATAAGCGCTGGACTTCAAACACAAGGTTAGCAGTTCGAGCCCACCAGTCTTGCCCTGGGAGAAAGCTGAGGCTATCTGCTCTTGCAAAAGATTGAAAGCCTGAAAAGCCCGATCCAGGGTCACAGTGAGTCGCTGGAGAAGGAGATCATGTTTGGTAAAGTGGAGGGTCAGAGAACAGGAAGACCCCCAGCTAGATGGATTGGCATAGTGGCAGGAGTGATGGGCTCAGGTGTAGCAAGGATTGAGGTTGGCCCAGGACTGGACAGTGTTTCCTTTGTTGTGCATAGTGTCCCTATGAGTCGGTCTGACTCAGTGTCGCCTAACGATAAGATAACAACAATGAGATGAAACTGACACAAGGGCATTTAACAATAACAATATATGGGAGTAGAGACTTTGTTGAGGGTCTGTCCACTTTTTTAAAAAGTAAGAGTAATTACAAGTATGGAGAAGAATCCTTGGCAATTTGTTACTCCAACAAAAGGCAGAATGACAGTGAAACTTACTAGAGCCCAAATTCCAGGATTTGTTCTGTTAAGCACCATTAGTTGCTTGAGATTCATGTTTTTCTGGGTCTCAAGAGTTTGCCTGTCTCAGGATGTAGTCTTAACTACTTTTCTTTTGCTCCTTTTAGTGGAAAAGATTTTTTTCTCTGACAGGTTTCCACCTTTCAACGTTCTAGTTTTTGCAGGTTTGACTATCAGAATCAGACTTTTTGAAGGTTTTTTTTTAGGTAATTTACAGTAGGGTTTTTAGGTAATTTACAGTGCTTTTTAGGTAATTTACAGAAGGGTTTTTAGGTAATTTACAGAAGGGTGTTTTTAGGTAATTTACAGTACTTTAAAAAAAATTTTGAGTTCTGAGTTTGCTAAAAGATTCGTTTTCTGGAAAGCACATTTGCAAAGGCTCTCAGGAAGCATAATGTTAGTTATTAGCAAATCTGCTCTGACTCATGGTGCCCCTTGCACAGGAGGACAGAATGAAGTGTCTGGCCCTGTGCCATCTTTAGGATTATTGACATGTAGGGATCCTTTGTTCCACCTTGTGCATTTTTGAATGGCACCGTGGTGATACAGTGGGCTTAGGGTTAAGCTGCTGAACACAAGATCAATTCAAACCCACCAGGTTTAAATCCAGCAGCCAAGATGAGACTGTCTGTTTCCGTAAAGATTTACAGCCTTGGAAACCCTAAAGAGCAAGTGTGCTTTGACCTGTGTGGTCACTATGAGTTGGAACCGACTTGATGGCAGTGGGTTTTTTTGTTGATTTCTTTTTTGAATTTCCAACCATGGGGGCTTCTTCCAGCATGATATAGGACAGCGTTCTCTTGTGAATCATTAGCATTTTCATTGGCTAATTTTCAGAAGTAGGTCTCCAGGTCTTTCTTCCTGGTCTGGTTTAGTCTGGAACTTCCAGTGAAGCTTGTCCATCATGGGTGACCCTGCAGCAATTTGAAATACTGATTGCATAGCATCCGGCTTCACAGCAACCTGCAAGCCACCACGGTGCAACAGACAGTGGTGGTGAATGAAGTAGTAGCTGGGTCAGGTGAATAAGGGAGACCAAAGAATGGATGAATTTGAATTGGCGTGTTGGCGCAGAATATTGACTATGCTACGCACCGCCAGAAGAACAAACAAATCTGTCTTAGAAGCTGAACAGCCAGAATGCACAGCTAAACGCAAGGATGGCGGGACTTGTTTCATGTACTTTGGACAAATTATCAGGACGGACCTGTCCCTGGAGAAGGACATCATCTTGGTAAAGTGGAGGGTCAGCCAACAATAAAAGAGGAAGCCCCCCCAACAAGATGGATGGACACAGTGGCTGCAGTCACACGGATTGTGAGGTGCAGGACCGGGCAGTGCTTCCATCCACTCTCTGTCGGGTGAATGAGAACCAGCTTGACGTTAACATCGTGACAGAAACATTGAAGCTTCAGGAAAGAGGGTTACAGCCACTATTATCCTTATTTAAAAGTGACTGAATCGTGATACAGAGATTAACTTGCTCAAGGTTTACACTGTTAGTCAAGAGAAAGTAAGTAGAAGTTGTTAAGTGCCGTCCAGTTGGTTCCGACCCATAGCGACCCTGTATAGGGTTTCTGAGGAGCAGCTGGGGAGCTTGAACCGCCGACCTTGCAGATGAAACCGACTTTGCAGTCCAGCGCATTAACCCACAGTGCTACACTAGAAGTAATAGAAATTAAACCCAGGTGTTGTGCCCCCGGGCATACTGCCCGTCTGTCCCTTGTTTCCTCTGGGAGCCACAAGCAACACTTGGGTTAGGGCTGCTGTGATCAAGACAGCTGACTGATGGACGTTAGTGGTAGGTAGCTGGAGCCCAGTCCCTGCTCTCCCCTCTAAGCTGTGGGCAACCGTGTGTGCCTGGAGACGGGACTTCTTTCTGTTCGCATCAAGTGCTATGTGGGCTAGCACCATCCATACCGTAACTCTCATACCATCTTTTCCTTTCTCTGTATCTCCTCTCCAGAACGCTGGCTTTCCCCAGAAAGAAAGAAGAGGAAAAATGACTAAGCTCCAGGTAAGTTGGGTTTGCCTTTCTGTTTCTTAAAAGTGACCTCTCCTTTTCACAAAGATAAGACAAACTTTTCTCCTGTTTTGAGAACGGCAAAAGATTCCAAAAGGCATTGGAAGGATTGTTGTTATTTACCAGGCTCTTCCTTTTGTGTATTTGTAAATTACAACCAAAACACCACACAAACAATTGCTGTGGTGTCGATTATGACTCCTGGTAACCTCGGGTGTGTCCGAGTGGTAGGAGTGAGCGCCGCAGGATTTTCAGTGACTGATTTTTTCAGTAGATCACCTTTCAGGGTACTTTAGGGTAAATTGGAACCGCTAACCTTTTAGTTAGTAGGTAAGCATGTTAACTGTTTGCACCCAGGAACCCCATTTACAAGGAATAGTGTAAAACTTAGTAGACATTTTTCAAAAATCAAAAACACCCAGATGCATTGTCAGCATGTTTACAAATCAATTGTTTTCATAGTCTCACATTCCTTTTGATTTATAAATGTTATGCCCAGAATTCAGGGTCCCCAAAGACCACCCAGGAGCCGTGTACCGATGCAAATACATAAGGGTTGTTTAATCAAGCTCGAGCCAGGTCTCTAACCTTATCCGACATTTCGGAATAGGGAAAGAGCCCCGAATTCATTGTCTGCAGGGTTTTTATAGAATTTTCAAACAGCTCAGGTTTCTCAGCTTTACAATCTTTGGATTGGTTAACAATTGGCAAACTATGAGATGTTACAGTTTAATTGGTCAGGACTGGTGGTCTTTGTTCTTAGGCTAGGGTAAAGGAAAACATCTGGCCTCTGGCCTTGAGCTGCCTGGCTATTTATACATATATCATATTCTTGGAGCTAGAGTACGTGTTCAGGCTAATGTACAGAATGGAGATTGACCTTGCCTCTGGAGGGAACTAATAACTGAGGCCTTGTCTATTTAAAATGCTTTCCTGAGCCTGACTAGAGTTTAGTCAAGCAGTTTCTAGGTAGGCAAAATCAGTTTGGTCCTTACATAAACATACGTTTGTAATCAGAATTTTGAATTTTTAAACTTTATTTTTGCATCAGATGAGGCTTTCTACTCCCGTAAAGATTTACACCCTCGGAAACCCTGTACAGGGTCGCTATGGGTCGGAACCGACTCGACGGCACTTAACAACAACAACAATATTTTATAAAGGAGCTCTGGTACCATAGTGGTTACGAGTCGGGCTGCTCATCTCAAGATCAGTGGTTTGAAACTACCAGCTGTTCCGTGGGAGAAAGATGAGGCTTTCTGCTCCCATAAAGATTTACAGCCTTGGAAACTCTATGCAGAGTCACTATGAGTTGGAACTGACTCCACGGCACATCCCCACCACCATGTTTTATAGAGTCCTGGTGTACCACTGTTGAATAAACACTGGACTGCTATCCACGAGGTTGGTGGTTTAAGCCCACCAGCCACTCCTTAGAAACCCTGTGTCGGGTCACTGTGAGTCAGAACCGACTCCATAGCGTGTAACAACAACGTATTTTAAATGGAACCATGTCGGCAGGGTAGGGTAAGTACTAGACTATGAACCATAAAGTCAGCAGTTCAAGCCCAGCAGCCTCTGGGAGAAAGACAAGGCTGTCTGCTCCTGTAACGATGTTGTTGTGAAGTGCCGGTAAGTCGGTTCCGACCCATAGCGACCCTGTATAGGGTTTCCAAGGAGCAGCTGGTGAGATTGAACCACCGACCTTGCAGTTCAAATGACTTTGCAGTCTGA